TCTCTCTCTCTCTCTCTCTCTCTCTCTCTCTCTCTCTCTCTCTCTCTCTCTCTCTCTCTCTCTCTCTCTCTCTCCTCAGCTAACAGGTACACTTTAATAATGTATTTAGTGACCATAGAGAACTCCAGACAAGCACAGTCCTGCTGGCCTTTCCAGGAGGGATATTTTAGACAGATTGAGGAGTCTTCAGGTCACCTCCTGCCACAAGGTGAAGCTGTCCTCCTTCCAACATGAGTAGGCGGCCCTAGAGCCAATCTCAAATCCAGAGCTCGTAAGTGTTGAGAACTGCAGAAAGGAGGCATAAATGCACCCAGCGCTCACTGTTAACCCAAGGCAGGCTCACTAGCAACACGAGAAAAGGGATGGAAACAAATTTCAATGCTCTGCAGAATCATTTAGTGTTCTTTGTTCTACATGCTCCCGTCCTTGTCATCCTAAAGTGTCTGTAGCTCATACGGTGTACTCATTAACTGAGGTGGTTAGTGCAGCAGGGGAGAGGGTGGAAGACGCTGTGAATACAAATCCTCATGACCTAATCATTTTCCTAGCAGCAATAGGAAAATGGCAAGTTTGAAGTGTTTAACAAACACAGATACCCATGTGGCAAATGAAAATGTGTCACCTTTCTTCAGTGTTATGAGGTCATAATATGCACTTCAATTTTCTTAAAACTGTAGCTAATTTTCTTTTCAGGTGTGACTTTTTTTTCTTCAGGTTCAAAATTCTAGCATATGTTTTCAGAATGGTCTTGTCTCCCTGTTAAGCTGTTGGTATACTTTTTTTTTTTAACTGATTGAGAGAAGTTTATTGTCTTAAGCAGTAACATGTACCTCATTGAAATTCAGTTTTCATTTACAATTTGTAAAACTTTTAAACCTTTTATTTGTAGAAAAAAATTCTATTCTTTTTTATAGACTAAAGGAATAGACCCTAAAATAAGTTCCAAATTAGGATACTGTAAATTCTGATATACTGCTTCAATGTATTAGAAGTTACAATGTAGAAAAGAAGGTTTGATATTTTAATACCATTCTGTCAGTTTTATGAATGGAAAGTCAGAATAAAAAAAGGACATGAGCCCCTTTAATAAGAAGCTTCTTCTTGTGAGATGCTAGAAGACATTGTAGGGATCTAGACAAATAAGATGTGTCCCCGTCTCCTTGTATCCTTCAGTGAAAGTGAGGAAAGAGATAACTTTGAGGTGCTACAGGACAGGGAGATGCAGGGTTAGTGTAGGTTGGAGACCGTGCTGATAACCCAGTGGTGGGTGAGCATGAGAAATTCCTAAGAGAATCTTGTGCAACTCTGGGACAGATTGAATGTGGAAGCAGCAGGCTAACTGGAGCCCAGAATAATGTTTGCCTTCTCTGGAACTGTTTGTTGAGCAGTATTACATTTGATTCTTAGCTTAGTTAACACAAATGTGAAGTTTATGTTTCCCACCCAGCTAGAGGTCCAGAGGTGAGCCACCCGAGGGAACTCGAGAAAGCCTTTGAGAACCGAGGCTCCTGCTGGCAGGTAGCTCCAGCAGCCCTGTGTGATGGGAAAGCAACTCCTGACTGAGAGATCAGATGTGCGGAGCAGGCGGTCGCTCAACATAAGGAACCCAATGGTGAAAGGAGGGAGGAAGTCAGCAGAGCTGTATGGAAACAATAAGAGCTCCTGGATTTCCCAGAGGGGTCCTGAGTGGGTAGCCAGTGAGGCCCTTTGTCAATGTAATTTACACAGCAGAGTCATGTGGGTACAATATGGGCCTGAGTACCGTCAGCCAATAGGAGCCCAACAGTATTCACATAGCTAACATTGATCTAGTAGGGAAGCAAGCCAGTAGGCAAGCATCAATAACTTTAGCTCACCTATAACTTCTCATGTAGAAAGGACAAAGATGCCTGGACAGGGAGAAGAGGAAAGGTCCAGATGTTCTGGTCACCTACTCTCTGGGCTCACTGGACCAGAGGTACAAATCACAGTGTGATCTCCAGATGCTCTTTATCTCAAGGGTCCATGGCTCTCTGAGTGTCTATTAATTCTTGGCTCGTGGTCTATAATATTAGCATGTGGCCTCTAGTGGTACGGCTGCCTGTGCCTGCTGGATCCCAAGCATTAGACTGACTTCCAGTCAGGAAGGAAAAAGAGACAAGAAGGGAGGAGGGGGTGCCATCTTAGGAGAGCAACGTTTTTATGCAGATCCCTGCCACCTTTCACCTGTGTCTCCTTGCCAGTGCTGTGTCCAAGGCCATCCCAGCAGCAGGGAACCTGGGAAATGTTTTTAAACTGAGTATATCGTCTTCCCACACAAACACACTAGCAGAGAAGGGGGAAAATACATATTAGTTAGGCAACTACCAGTGTCCTCATGAACGTGTTGAGAAAACAAATTACTAGGACATCAGCACTTTCACTTTAATTTGACCCAGAATAATTGAGAAACAAGTAGGTCCTTTGATTGCACAAAAAAGGTACCTGGATTGGACAAGATTGCTTACTTTTTCTGAAATATCATTAGACCTAGTTTTAACAGAACTATGGATCCAAGAAGACAGCCCCACTTTTCATACACTTAGAAATTGCATTTAAAAAGAAAAAAGGTAGGTTTTTGAAAAGAGCTTAGGGGATTTTTCCTTCTTGCTTGCTCCTCTGCAGGGTATCCTGGAGCGTCTGGCCGGCGGGGAGGTGGTGATTGGGGATGGCAGCTTCCTCATTACTCTGGAAAAGCGGGGCTATGTGAAGGCTGGGCTCTGGACTCCCGAAGCCGTAGTGGAGCACCCAGATGCAGGTTGGTGGCCCATTCACCCCAGAATATTTGTCTGAGTGAGATTTTGCTTAATTCAAGTAGGAGAAAATCAAGAAGTGATAGTGAGCATTGCTAAGGGAAGTTTCCACTGGCAGCACTGCCAAGATATGGTGACAGTGGCGGGATGTGAGCTAAAGCATGCAGAAGAAATGATCTCTCTCTCTCTCCTTCCCTCCCTCCCTCCCTCCCTCCCTCCCTCCACTGTCCCCTTCCTTACCCTGCCCCCCACTGGCATCTTCTTATAGGAGCAGCACTAAGATACACATTTTTTTTTTGTGGAACCAGGGATTGAACTCAGGCCCTTGCACTTGCCAGGGAAGCGCTTATTTCACTGAGCCATCTCCCCAGCCCCTACACCTTTTAATACTTAGAGATTTTCAGGGGTTTCCTTAACAATAGCAAAAATGATTACTACTTTTGCTTGCTGTTGTGTACATTATAGCAGCCTCTCTGGTGAGAGTGATTGATGGAAGGCTTCAGCCTAACACTTCACCCCAGCCAGGTTTGGGGTGAGAAAGCAGGGGAATAGTCAGCTTCACATGATGCTTCTGGCTGGGAGCAGGTTGAGCCCTGAAGGAACAAACTGATGGGACTGGTTGATAGCATCAAATCGAAACCTTCACTCTATCCTCTTTTCGTGTATTTGTGCTCTTGAAAGTGGAAAAATAGAGACAAGAATATGGAAAAATCAAATACAAGTGAAGAATGTAGCCTTGAGTGACACTGATTTTATTCATATCTGTGCTTACCAGGCAAACTTAGATTCCTGTCTTAATTCTCCAGGGTTCCTGTCTTAACTAACCAGCTGCATGCTCTTACCCAAGTCCCTGGGCCTCTCCAGGGACTCTATTTTCATGTCATGTGATACATGCGTTGCAGGATGTAGGGCGGCTGCAAGGACCTTTAAGCAAACCCTCAGAACACCCAGGATACATCCCACTGCTTTCACAGACCGCCAGGGTTCTATGAGGGGACAGGACCAAGGTCTCTCCCTGCTGCTTTGCAGGAAGTTTTCACTCAGCCCAAGAAGAAATTGTTCTTTGTTTTGGAAGAATTGCTGAGATAGCAAGGATAAGGATATAGAATGGAGGTAAAGGTGGAGAAGGGAAAAAAAGGGATGACTCTGAGAGGCTTAAGGCTGTTTGGGTTGCTGTGTGTCCCATCTGGAAATAAGAAGTGAATTTTGCACAGAGCAACCCCAGCCTCCCACCTCTTTTGAGACAGGGTCTCACTAAGTCACTAAGTTGCCCAGGTAGGCTAGCGCTTGGGATCCTCCTGCCTCAGCTTCCTCATCATGCTCACAGTGGAGGAGCTCCACATGGGTGCCACATCTGTGCCCTCCATGAGCACCTAGGGTGTACAATAAACCTCTCCAGCACAAGAGATCTGGTAACGGGCTCAGCGAGCAATGGCACCAGGCTTCAGGCCTCAGAAAGACAGCAGGGTTCCTTTAGACAGCACATACATCCTGAGTCCCTCGGACCTCACCTTTGACTTTTTATCAGTGCTGAGTTTGCAGCTGGGTGTGAGTGAGGGAGATGGGGCTGAGGTTGCCACAGTCAAGCACCTGCCATTTTTATTATAATTTGTTCAATTTCCAATTGAAAACCCAACTGTTTTGTAGTTCGTCAGCTTCACATGGAATTCTTGAGGGCAGGATCCAACGTCATGCAGACATTCACCTTTTCTGCCAGCGAGGACAACATGGAAAGCAAGGTGAGCTGCACCCCAGCACTGTGTTCATAGACCTGTGGCAGAGCGTGGACGAGGCAAAGGACACAGAAGTACATGAAATGTCTTGCAAGTACACAGTGTTAGTTGTAAATGTTGAGGTTCATTTGTTTGTTTAATGAGCCAATATCTAATGGGCACTAGAAAATGTTGTTATTACAGCCCATGGACTATGCGGTAGTCCATTCTCCATGCTCAGTACAAAGGCATAGACCCGTAATCTGTGGAGTGGTGGCATAGACCTGTGATCTCAGCACTAGGGAAGCTGAGGTAGGAGAATCACCAGTTCAAAGCCAGCCTGGGCTACATATGGAGTTGTAGGGCAGCCTGAACTATATAGTGAGACCCTGTCTCAAAAAAAATTTTTTTTAAGAAAGAAAAGGCAAAGACCCTATTCTGGAGAGGGCCATGCTCAAGCATGGAAGCAAACAAATATACAGTTATTAAGATCCAGTGTGGTAAGTGCACTCTAATAGCAATATAATGCTGTACATATATTGTGGGTTGTACTCAGCTCTGCTGGCCTTCTCATGTTGCAGTGTAAAGGAGGGACTTTGCCTCTTTTTTAGCTATTTATTCTGTATCACATTCAAAATGCCAGCTTATCATCTTGATTTGTGCTTTCATACCTCAGTGGAAAGAGGTAAACGCTGCTGCTTGTGACCTGGCCAGGGAAGTGGCTGACCAAGGTGATGCTTTGGTAGCAGGGGGAGTCTGCCAGACATCGATGTACAAATACCACAAGGATGAAGCTCAAATTAAAAACCTTTTCCGACTACAGCTGGAGGTTTTCGCCAGGAAAAATGTGGACTTCCTGATTGCAGAGGTAAGCCCAGTGCTGGAAGAACAGCATCCAGCTTATTTTGCCAAGTCTAACTGTATAGCCTAAGCTTTCAGCAAGGTGCTGGCCAGCCTCATGTGCTTGTATCCTGAGTGTGCATGGTCACAGGCATCCAACCGTGCTTTGAGGGCTGGCCACTTGTCAACTGGATTTCATGAGGCCAAGGGAGGCCTAACATAGCCTGTGTTCTCTCAGGTCTGCGTAGTTGTGGTGGCTGGCTCAGGGACCCTTGAGCAGGAAGTGGACAGAGGTCAAGCAGATCCCTCCCCTGCTTGTGAAACATGCTGGGTGGTGCCAGAGGCAGGGGGCAAGGTGCAGTCAGGTCTCGGTGCTCCACTGTCTTGAAACTCCTCCAGTTTGGTATTCAACATATTTGACACAAAAATTTTGTCCAAGTATTCACCTTGTGGGTATCATTAGCCTTGTGCCTCACCACTGTTCCAGCCCAGATGACCCCTCTGATACTCATCACTTCCCATGCCTTCGCTGTGCCTCCTAGAAGCGATAAGAGCAAGCACCAAGGTACCACTGTACTTGGCTGCTCCAGCTCATCCATGTCCCACCAGATGGCTCTGCACCGAATGCTTCCCTTCTCTTCCTTGGTTCATACTTCTGCTCTCCCTCCCACTAGGACACATGACTGACCTTTGAAGAAAGGGCACAGGAAGGTGTAGAATGTTCTCTCCCCTCCACCTCCAAAGCCAAATCTCTTCTTCCTCATTTTTCAACAATCACAGCTGCTGCTGCCTGGCTCAACCCCTCGCCCTCATCTTTACCCCAAACCAGAGGAGAGTGGCCTGGCTGGTGTTTACTGTCCATCCCCGCTCCAGGGCAGACCCAGTCTCATGACTGGGTCCAGCTGAGTCACTGGAGGAATCGCCTGCAGAGACCACCTGGTCTGCTTGTATCCTCTGCTTGATCCTCTCTTGTATCCTGTCATTCCTCATATTGCTTCTGCCAAATGTGTTTCTAAATCAAGAAGGAGGAAACGGAGACTGTGTCCAGCTTTTCTCTATTTGCCCCTAATTCAGCTTCTGGATTGGGATGCCATAGGAAGTACCCGTGTGCCTCATCAGACCAGGCTGGCAGGGTGCTGACTTTCCCCTGTCCTGCACTGAGTCTTCTGGGAAAATGCATTTCCCCTCCCACCAGCTAGCTAGAAGTGAATATATATAAAAGCACTTTCAAACATAACACATGACCAACTGCTCATTGTTTCTTAGATTAACCTGGTTCCATGAAAAAGGAGCCCAAAATTTGTAAGCTGAATTTCCAGTCCTTCAAAATTATGGTTTCAAATATGCAAATATGTATGCTTTACTAACAGCCATCATTTCACTACATGATGATCCCTGAATGAAAATCTATATATTATTGTGGAAGGAATTAAAATATTTACTTGGAAAGGTATGGTTTCATCAGAGTGCGGGAGATACACTCCTTAGTAGGTTCTATACCTATATGTGGTCATTTTTATGGCTATTGTACAACATTTGTACTCTATCATTCTACTTGGACCAGTAGAAAACATGACATCTCTCTTAGTATTTTGAGCACATAGAAGAAGCTGTGTGGGCTGTGGAAGTCTTAAAAGAACTGGGCAAGCCAGTGGCGGTGACCATGTGCATCGGCCCCGAGGGAGACATGCATGGGGTGACACCTGGGGCATGTGCCGTGGAGCTGGCGAGGGCAGGTAACTTAGGCCCAGGACATGAGGGGTGGTTCTGCAACTGTTTATGAAGCTTAATGATGTTTGCTTAATATGATGAGATCAGTAAGAGAATAGAAAGGGAATGAAAGAATTGATTGCCACCAGTTGCTTCATCTATAAATCTTGGGGTGGCTGATTCTCAGGTGGCTTATGACTTTCATAAAGGAATACACAAAAAAAGGATAAAGTGTGAGCAGTCTGTCTCCCTGTGCAGGGGCTGACATCGTTGGTGTGAACTGCAGATTTGGGCCCAAGACCAGCTTGCGGACACTACACCTCATGAAGCAGGGTCTGGGGGCTGCAGGGTTGAGCCCCCACCTGATGGTGCAGCCCCTGGGCTTCCACACCCCAGACTGTGGCAAGGGGGGCTACTTGGACCTACCGGAATATCCCTTTGGTGAGCTCTGGCACAAAGAGGGGGTTTTAGGTTTGTCACTGTGACAAAATGCAAGTGGCTGTGATAAACTACGGTACAGTTGTATAATACGATACAGACAAGAAAAAAGCATTTAGTGGTTTTTTGGGGTTTTTTTTCCCAGAACTGGGGATTGAACTTGGGCCCTTGTGCTTGCCAGGCAAGCGCTTATTCCACTGAGCCATCTCCCAGGCCCAGCATTTAGTGTTAACCAAACACAAGTTATCTAAGGAATGTATAACTAAAGTTGATGGGTCTTTTATTGGAATGAATACATTTTAAAAGGGTGACAGTAATAGAGATGGCATAACTGTTATATCACAGGACTGGAGCCCAGAGTTGCCACCCGATGGGATATTCAGAAGTTCGCCAGAGAGGCCTACAACCTGGGAGTCCGCTACATCGGCGGGTGCTGTGGGTTCGAGCCCTACCACATCAGGGCGATTGCGGAGGAGCTGGCCCCGGAAAGGGGATTTTTGCCATTAGCTTCAGAAAAACATGGAAGCTGGGGGCATGCTCTCAGTATGCACACCAAGCCCTGGATTAGAGCAAGGTATGAATTTCTTTTTAAAATGAGTTTTTGGTTTTTTTTTTTCAAAGTTTTGTTGATAAACAGATAGCAATGAGACAGTTTCAAATCAAATCGGAAGTATGGTTTCAACAAATAATA